TCTCCGATTCCGTTTGCCCTTTCTCTATAGCGCTCTTCATAAGAGACGGGTTTTTTCTGACATTATAGCGCAGAGTGGGTTTCCGTTGATAAGGTTTCTTGGAAAAGCTTTCTTTCCTTTCATTCTTTTCAATGCGCACTGCCTTGCTATGCAACTTTCGGCGAGTACAGTACTCCTCAGCAAACTCTGCTGCCTTGTTAAGCTGCCCTTCGCCAAGTTTGTCCTGCAGTCAAAGCTTGAGATCAAATTCGATGCAGTGGTAGAATTGCTCCAATGCAATGCATTCCACCACTTTATCGCGGTCATGATGAGCACCTTCGCCGTTGAGCTATTCAAGTAAATCGGCTTTAAGACGAAACGCGAAGTCAACGTGTGACTCATTGCCCTTTTTTCGCGTACCGGAACCTTAGCCAGAAGGCTTCGGGTGACGACTTAAACGTGTCAAGAGCCCTTCCTTAACATAGCTCTTCCTTAAGCATCCCCCATATATGTTATGGGGGATGTACAGACGGAGAGAGTTCATTTTAATAATAAAGAGCGTGCAGCTCAGTTCCCCACCTTGTGGTAGTCCGGTTTCCTGTGCAAATGTTCGAGACAAGACATTGCCCACTCGAACGAGGAATGTACGATCGGACAGATAACTTTCCATGATATTAAGAAGTATTACCACGTATACTTATATGCGAGAGTTCTTTCAATATGTCTAACCTCCACGCCGTTTCATAGGTCTTATCCATGTCGAGGACTACAGATTAAGAAAAAACTGAATATGAAATAAAAACTCCACGTTTTCGTGCTTCAATTCGTATAATTGATCGCTGGTGGATCTGCCTTCTCTAAACTCGCACTGGTATAGGTCTAACAGTTTCTTTGATTCAAGGAAGTGGAGTAGTGGCAATGAATCATTTTTTTTCGAAAGCTTACAGATGCGAATCCTTAATGTAATAGACCTTTAAATTGATAGTGTCGAGGAATCATTCCGTGTCTTGAAAAGTGGAAATAAAACAGCTTCCTTCCAAAAAGAGGGGATCACACCAGAAACCCAGATAAGATTGTAAAAAGAGAGAGAAGTTTTTGTGTTTCGAAGGGTAGTTGCTTCAGCATCTCATATATTATGCAGTCAGGACCTGGACAAGATGTCTTGCAACAGTTCAGTGCTCTTTGCAGTTCTGCTAACGAAAATGGCTGGTTATAAGCCTCGATTGTTTTAGATTTTTTTCCAAGTTTTTTTGTTCGAACTGTGGTTTGTACTTTTGGAATGCGTCAGAGTAGCGTGAGGAGCCCGATATATTTTCAAAATGTGCACCAAAAAAATGAGCTTGGTCCTCCAAGCTTTCCCCGAGGGTATTCACTAATGGAAGAGAATATGTTTGTAGGCCTTTAATTATTTGTACTTTGTTCCACACTTTTCGCTCACCTGTTTACAAGTTGATGCTCGTAATGAACTTCGTCCAGCTCTCTCGTCTGGCTTATCTGCGTGTTCTTCTTGCCCGTGATTTGACCTGCTTAAAATTTCCAGGTTTTTCACTGTTGGAAAGTCACGAAGCAACTCCGACGCTTTGTTCTGACTCATCCGAGCTTTCCTACAGGCATTGCTCCACTATTGAACTCACCATTTCGAACACATGCCGCTCCTTCGAATAATGCACTTTGACGTGGTATTAAGAATAAAAGCTGTAAAATACGCGACTGCGTCATCATCTATGGCTAGAGCAGACATCTCAGTTCGTGTCATATGGGTAAGCGTGTGGTGCTGTTTCCTCATCAGCTGAGTCAAGCTTACATCTCAGAACCTGCGGGGATAGTTGGTTTTTGTTTGGCGCGCTCAGGATGATCGGGAAGTGGTCACTCCCACAAGGGTTTTTAAGAACAATCCATTTAAAATCGGCTACAAAGGACGGTTATTAAATGCTAAGATCTATTGGGGAGTACGAAGTGTTCACCAGGCTAAAATACGTAGGCCCCTTTGTATTTAAGAGACATAAGCTGTGCTCGGCGACAACTTTTCTTGGCATTAGAGCGAAGGATACAGGGCCAAATTGCAGACATCCTACTGCCAGTGAATATAGTTCCACAACAGCACCCGTATTCCCACCGGGAAATATAGAAGTTACCTCTTTATTTTCTACGTGGAGCTATTTGAGACATGACGCAGCGCCTCTATTAAGATTGTCGTGATTGCTTTCATTTATTCGTTGTTACTTCGCATTTTTGAACGCGCTAGAAAGTCCCGCCTTTTTATGTGCAGCTCAAGCTCTAAGCGGCGCCTGCGTCTACATGAAATGCTAATGGTGCGCCTCCGTCATTTTCCCCAGCGTTACGAGATGCACGCCAAAACTGACTATTTCGCGTAGAAGCTCCGCCTTTTCAGCTTTCCCTTCAGTGTCAAGAAAAGTAGTCGCCGGGTATAAAAGAATAAAGAAGCTGTTCAATAAAACGTCCTCGAGCATCACAGGGAGAATCGCCCTATAGGGCATAATCTGCGTTAAAATAATCTAAAATCGAAAATAGTTCCGGGAGTTCTCCTATTAATGATACCAAGTCGCGTCTGTTAAGCTGATGTGTTGGTATATACAGGGAGCGTAAGGTGCTGAGTTTTTTAAAAAGCACAGCTCGAATGGCTACTGCCTCAAGGGCTGTCCGGAGTTTCATCTGTTGCACGCCACACTTCGATCAGCTATAATGGCTACTCCACCGGTTGAAACGACAGCATCTTCATAGTCCTTTCGGAAAGTAGTGCATTGGCGGAGAAAGTTGCTGTGTTTAGGAGTCAGGTGGGTTACTTGAACACAGCACTTTTGGGTTGAACTTACTGAGAACTTTTTGAACGTCATCTAGATTTCTGAGTAGCCCTGTAACAGTCCACTGAATGTTTTTATTCGTTATGAACTAGAAAAAAATGCTGTGTGTAGACAAGACTGAGATTGGCTCCTTTTACAGGGCCTTTGTGAGGCCCTGTAATTGGTGTTCTGTCTTTTTGGAGCGGTTGACAAGAGGTAGCCGCTCCTTTGGCGCCACCGGCACCGTTTGGCCAGAGGCTGTGTTCATAGCCTCCTGCGAGGCACTTAAAACCCGCTCCGCAGATCAATCTGTGTGTCGCTTAGACTTCGCCTCAGTCGACGAAGTACTTACCCCCACAGGGCAAGAGGCTGTTGGGACCCCCTAAGCCTCTTCATTGCTCTAGCTGCTGCCAGGGCTTGTAGAGGCTACCATTGTGTACTGGTTGGCTGTGGCCAGGGCAGCGCTGGCTGCTCCCACCAGACGGACTGGTAACTTCGACCTGGGCACGCTAGGCGTGATCAAGGTAATCGCCAAGGGCCATTGTGGTGCCACCCCTCGTCGCTGATTTTTTTTCTCCTTTCCAGGCTGGGCACACTCGCGGTATGCGGGATGCCTGCCTTTGCAGTTTGCACAGTGAACCTCATCGTATTCGCATTCATCAGTATCGTGACCAGTTGTGCCACATTTACCACAAGTCACCTGACCTCGGTAGGTCTGAGATCCTTGTACAAATAACTGGCATTTAAAACGTCTCGGGGTGCGAACGCACGGATGCAGAGGAAGTTTTAAGTAGACGGTTTCAAGTGTCTGGAGTAGAATGAATGTGTTGAAAGTAAGTTTAACGTGATTTGTTACAATTTCAGTTTTGTTGCGTCTAATTTTGATGCGATGCACGTTTGTTATGCCTTGGTCTTTACATCCGTAAAGGAGTTCATGGTCGCTTAGTGTCTTCAGGTCTTCATGGGATACTACGCCCTCCACTGTTTTCATGGTACATTGTGCCCTGATTGATACGTGCATATTGCCAAGAGCTGAGAGGTGTGAAAGTTTGTTGAAGTGTTCTTTGTCTTTTAATTCGCGAAGAATGTCTCAACTTGCCATGTTTGTGGCCTTATAGCCAGTTCTAAGAAGTCTTTTAATCATTTGGCCACAAGTAAAGGTGATATTGCTCTGGCTTTGGTTTGTGTCTGTCCACAGTGAAGAACAAGGTATTTTGGGAAAGTTTTTGTTTTTGAGCAAAAACAAAGATGATGCATCAGTACGTACCCTATTTAAGGCAAGATTGGTTACGGGAGGGTTCAGAGGTCCCATGAAAAAATGGCTTCTTCAGCAGCGCTGCCTACCACCCACCACAGAGCCCAACAAGGCGACATGGTAGAACGTTTGAACAAGTCTGCGCAACGCCAGCAGTACGCCGTTGCTATAACCAGATATGATTTACCCTAGGTATAATAGCCACACAAGGTTAACCCTAGCCGCCAGGAAACAATGAAGTAATTGGAAAAGAGAAGAAGACAGTATAAATTCAAAGAGGAGATAAAGACGAATATGTGAGCAGAGAGAGACAGGAAAAGGCGACTGCCGATTTTTCCTGGGTGGGACAGCCCAGGGGTGCCCTCTGCATGAAGCTGGGGCCAAAGGGGTGTGTTGCCTCTGCCAGGGGGCCTCAAAGGTCCGATCACCCAGCGTTATCTCAACCCCCAGAATCACCTTTTAGCCGGACACAGCTCAGCCACGCACGGATAGGCATGGGAGGAAGTCGAAACCCCCTCATTAGCTCGGGTCCGTGGTGTCGCTACACACCACGCTTGCTAGCGGAAACGCCCTTGCGGGGTCCTGTACCAGTTTGGATTTCGAAAGGTTCGATCTACATTTGACCACTTAATACGCATTGAGGCTGAAATTCACGAAGCAATTGTATATAAACAGTTTTTTTCTTTGTATTGCTGGACATGAAAAAGGCATACACCACATGGCGCTTTGGAAGAGTGAGGGCCCTCTCACGCTTAGGTGCGCGGGGTACGACCTTGCGCCACTGAAATTCATATATCATCATCAACATGCAACCCGAGTGAGGCTGTGTCGTCAGCATATGTACACGTAGTCTTTTTTTATTTTCAAAACGATGCATTGGCTTCGTTATATATATAACATTTGTGAACGAAGGTCAGTTTTTTTATACCGAAGTATGAATATTTTTTTTCATTTTTTAATAAAAATAGTGTAGGCCTTTGTACACGCCAATGCTGGATACTGCTGGGCCGTGCGAAATAACAATAATATTTGAAGTCCGTTGAAGTGACCATTATATGCCTGCGAACTAACGCTCCACGCGAAAGAAAAAAATGGCATTCAGTGGATGGAGGAAGTAGATGACTTCGATTCTTCTTGGCAACGTTGTAGTTGTTGATATGTGCAGATATCGGTGCATTCAATATGTCATTTTCTTCTACAATTACTGCGCTTATTGATACTCTTCTCAAAGAGTTTCGCCAGAGGCTTCTCCTTTATACACGTAATTTCGCCGCCTCGTTTTCTTTGGGATAGCTGAAAAAAAAAAGAAGTGACAATAAATAGTACTGGTGCTGCGACACTAAGCTTTTTTTTTTTTGTTGCAAAGGACACTCTTACGCGGTGTACTCCCGTAAGTCAGAAAATTTTTAGAGTGCTCGCGTAAGCCGTTCGCTGCAGGTACGTCAAAATTCCAATCGCGCTACATTATCTTCTGCAGTCACATTGAATGAGCGTGCCAGCTTCTCAAGCTGTTGGCGTGAGAAGTGGTCTGTGCACCACTGTGACATGTGTGCGTGTACTTTGCGCCCATAAAGTGACAAGAAAAATCGAATGAGGGGTGCTATTTACGTTACAGACTAGGTGAATGGGCGAGTGCATGTGACCCGAATTGTTATGTGGTCCTGCCACCCACTCATAGCGTATAACTAGCTCAGGTGTAATGCACGTTAACTATTGTGCAACATTTAGAGGGTGCGCTTCATGCTGCTCAAGAACCAGCAATAGGCTTGGTTGATTCGTAATAGTCACGTCAGATTTCACCACGATTTGGCAGACATTCGCCAATACTGGCAGATATGATGTGTTCTGCTGTCATCTTTGTTACGCTTCAATAAAAAATCACTTCGTGATCTCGCACATGCGTAAATAAAGACGACAAGTTGCTTCCCTGTGATATTTTTTATTGGAATAAATTTGAGCGCAAATGGACAACGCACAAAGAGAGGACGACTGCCCGAACGTTCGTACAGACCTGTGTTCTTGTGTGTTATTTATTGCTGCTCAAATATATTCCAGAATGAAGCCACGCACCCAACAAAGCATTTCATCAAGCGTTTCTTATTGTCGTTCAAAAACAGCCGAAGTATCATCAAGTGCAGAGACAGGCATGCGGGGGCAGATGTTTCAACTCTCTTAGATCTTGCACGAGAAAAATAGCAGTGGTGCGATTCCAAGAAAAAAGCGCGCTCAAAAAATTGGTAACACACAACAGTTAAGACGACGGAAAGTTTCTGTTTCCCGTTACCGTGCGTGCTTTAAACGCCATGGCTCTTCAGGGCTTGTTTTGCAGGAATTCCGGCATCAGCAGTGGTGTCGGCGTTGGTGTCGTTAGTTGCGAGCGAAAAATTTTCCTGTCCGCATAGGTCGGCAAAGAAGGTAGAACGGAGACACACAAATATATCTTGCGCTGTGAACTCAATTCGACACAGCCTTAGCAAAGTTTTTCCGACGCGGACTCCCTCGAAATCACAGTCCCGAAACTTTTCTTTACATGGGATCACTCGAATTCAGACTCAGCAAAATAGTACTCACGCAGGCTCCCTCAGACTCAGACTCACGGCCTAATGTGAGTCTCAGTGAGCACGAATGAGTCGAATCATCAGAGAGTTCACTGACCTGTGCTTCTCTGTGACCGAAAAAAAATGAGAAAGATTCAAACAAAATCAATGTTAAAAATTTCTGTGTCCGAGTGAGGTTCTAACCCGGGTCATCTGAGTGGCGAGCAAATGGGCCACCACAGCGTCTGGAGGTTTGTTGAAACTACTTTGACAAACAAAAAAAAAAACACTACAAGAAACCACTACGGAAAAGTGAGCGAAGCCTCATTGACCCGATAATGCGCCGAACCAAACATGCCGAGACAAGCTCTGAATGTAAACATTCAACATAAGTCTGTCTGGTTGGGTATGAAACTGGGAGTTGATATAGACTCCAACCAAAAGTTTTGAAGAAACAGGGCGTTTCGAAACCGACTTGATTCCTTCCTCAAGGGTGGCTGCGGAGGATGCCTTGCAGTGGTGTCTTCAAAGCACTCGCGAGGCGGATAATGACCCCTCTCTCTCCCAGTGTATACACATGGAATGCGCTCCACGGCAAAACGAGAGAGAGAGGGGGGTCATTACCCACCGCGCGAGTGCTTTGAAGACACCGCTGCTACATAGTCTCCGCAGTCACCCCTGAGAAAGGAACCAAGTCGGTTTCGAAACTTCGGGTTTCTTCAAAACTTTTGGTTAGAGTATAAACATCTCCCCGACACAAGTATGATGGCGTGTTGCCTGGATACGCCCCCGAAATTTGTTGGCCCATGTTAGCAGACTGCCTGCATGCGCCCGCTGTTTCTTAAATCAAATGAAAAAAAGGACGCTCAACCACATACCAAAGCTTTATCAAAGTAATTTACAATTTCATTGTAACAGATAATTGTAAAAGTGTTGAAAATAAAAGTTTCATTATTTATTTTTGTTTTCGATATTTGTCGCCCCCTCACCTAGTCGCGCTTCAATCGTCACGCGATTGAATGATGTCTGTCGCAATGGGTTTGACACCACTTTTCGTTCCGTCTTTCGCGACCTATTTAGATAGACCTTGGAACTCGTGGCCAGGAAACTGAAAAGCTACAGCAAGCAATGTGCGTGGTACACTCATAGCGCCGAACAGAGCGTCGGCCGTAGATAATTTGATCCACGGCAAGGATACACGTGGCATGGATACACGTTCAAGCAATAAAGCATCGACCATTCAAGCATTATCGCTCATTGTTCGACGCCGCAAGAATTCAGCGATGGGAAAAAGTGTGTGTGGCTTAGCCCCGCCCCCCTCCTCCCTTGAAAAGACATCATCCTGATTCTTTAATGGAAAGTGGAAGTACTATCTGCATTGAGTAATATATTAGGCCAAGAGAGGTCACTTTCATAGACCCTTGCAGCTGAATTGGGATTGCAGCGCACCAAACAGGTGTGGTGAAACTTTGCAGCCTCATAGATGGCAGACCGCAGAAAGGACTGTTTCGAAGACTTCTTTTTGTAGTGATTCGAAATACTATACAGCTTCCGAAACCACTTCTACATTCATGCTCATCTGTGGTGCCATAATTTTTCTTTTAACACGTCGTTAGCAGGCATCGAAGAGCTTCGTGTAAGCTGCACCGCTAGAGCAGCAAGCACACAATATCAGTGTGTGTCTGCGTACACAATTTAATTAAAGCTTGAAAGTGACTGGAGGAGCGAAAACATTTATTTTCAAGTCATATTCTTGGTGAGCGCATGCCCACTTTGTTAATGTTTGATAAACGCAGGCACAAAGAGAGGTTCATTGCACTGCGACACGTGGAAATACAGCTGCCATGTCATGATTATAAATTACACACAAGAAATGATCACATACGCAACAACATAATAAGAACCGCAGCAGAATAAAACTGCAATAAACAAACACAACTACCCATCAGTGCACAACGCTATATTACAATAGTTGCCTAAGCCACGGCCGCTGGATAAAGAAGCGTGTGCTCTTTCATCCAGTAGCCGTGCCTCAGCACTTGAATTCGGCATGAACCAAAAAAAAAAAAAGAAAAGAAAATTGTTGGCTACGTTCTTTTTTAAACCTTCGCACTTATTTCCTCCAGCACACTTTATATCACTCTTTTGCGAAAAACAGCCAGAAGCACTTGCCGCAGCAAAAACAAAGCAATTTCAGGTGTCATGCAAGCCGTTAACTAGGCAGGAGTACTCTTTGAAAGATTACGTCCTAGTTTTAGCTAGCAAACACTTTTCTAGATTCCCCTTTCTCTTATTGCGCTCGTTCGAGCTTCAAGCGATTTGTGAACGGCACACATAATGATACTAGCTGCACTTTTCACAAAATCTCACTCATACAGTGAATTTGAGTGCATGTAGCGGCACAAAGAAAACCTAACAACGCGAGTGGTGACTCAATTTTTTGAGCCAAGAAAGGATTTTCTCGCAAACATGCTGCGAAGCATTCCAGACTCTTTTATTTTGTGTTAAGCAACCCACGAAAAGAGTACGCGAAGTGAAGAGCACAAAGAAGGTCTCTGCGCTGAACAGCACAATGCCAAGAACGTTAGGTTAAGGCTTCAATGACAAATACAATACGCACATAATATACTAATAATGGCGTTCGTACCTACCAGCAGCCAAGCTGAGAGGCAGCCGAAACAAGCGAAGACCACGACGCACGCCAGGTACGTTATCGCACGTCTTTAATGGTATCTCCCTACCAAGGTCAATCTAAATAGGTCGCGAAAGTCGGAACGAAAAGTTGTTTGAAACCTTGAGACATCAACAACCGCGTGACGATGGAAGCGCGACTAGGTGAGGGGGGGAGGGGGCAAACAGCGAAAACAAAAATATTTATTAAACGATTATTTACAATAGCTTTACTTTATTTGTTACAAAAATCAGTATATCACGTTAACAAAGCTTTGGCCTTTGGTATGTGGTTGAGCACCCATTTTTTTGTTTGGTTTTTGAAACAGCGGGCACATGCAGGAAGTCTGGTAACATGGGCCAATGGATTTGGGGGCGTATCCAGGCAATACACGGAGGAAGGAAAAAATGTAAGGAGAGGGCATGCCCAGCCGGCGCAGGGCGTAAAAAATGTGGCGGAAATGACATCATGGCGGCCATATTCACTAGGCACAATGGCGGCGTTGCTATGGTTACGTGTTGCGCAGTGGAGCTGGTCTAGCAGTGAGCGGCCGCGGCTGGCGGCGGAATGTGTGCCTCCCCAGGTCTCGTGCTGAGCCGTGGCGGACAATATTAGTGCTCTGCGCCGCGTCATTGGTTACGCAGTGTTCTCCTGGCTGTTACATTACTCTTAGCAACGTTTACAAATCCCTTTGTCCATCACGGGGTTTCAACAGTGCGTAGAACAAGTGCATATCCATGTGTCGTGCGGCGGATGACGCGGATGAAGCAATCAGTGTTCAGCGAAATTGCGTTGGGCACCATGACGAAGCTGAATGACGACGAACGCCTTGCAGGTCAGTGACGGTTCAGCAGTGCTCCTGCTTGTGACAACGGACGACGCTGTTGAGCCCAGCAAGACGCCGTGAGGACCATGTGTACATACGTAGTTTCGTGTTGTGTATGTACAGTAACAACTTGCATGTGGGTATTAAAACACCTTTTCTGTTCCGCTTGGTACACTCTCCACCAGCATTGCATGTAATCTCAACGTAACAGCAACCACGTTCAACTGTCACTAGCACCGTGCTCAAAGTCGCCACGGTCGCAGAATGCTGACGCCGGTGAGTTTCACGCGGAACACGGGACACAGTGGCAGGACGCTGCGTCGGCCGCGTGGCGGAATGCAACCGTAGAAGGCGCACGACCGATCGTGTTGTCTGTACAGTTGCTGAATTAATGACGTGAAAGCACTCGCCGTTGTCAGTGCATCTAGCGCGCGTTCTCTCGAAGTTGCTTCGTTGTCGGCGAGCTGTTACTCCCTGTTATTACTCGGACGAAGCGATTTCGCTGAAGGTGTCCCGCTGGCTCAGAGTTATGAGCCCAGTTCCATTAGTTTCGGATCGTCACGACACACGCGCTGCGCAGCCCACGTGCTTTCCGAGCCGGAGAGTGAGTCGTGCCTTCTGCTTTACATTCGGATGTAAACAAGCGAGGAGAATTTGCCTAGTCAATATGGCCGACTTCCGGCTTCATCTCGGCTTCACAACGAGTGACGTCAGGGCCTCTCCTTACCTTTTTCCTTCCTCCGTGAGGCAATACAATATGCTATCAGAGCTTGTGTCGACATGTTCTTTGGTTCGGTGCATTACCATTCACGAGGCATCGCTCACTTTTCCGCAGTGGGTTTATGCGTGCCTTCAGAAGTTTACTTATTTTATGTGCATTTCATAGCTCAACTAGCTCACAGAATGTGTAGATAGCCGCTCCTGCGATTGCCTACTGCTTTCGCTGGCGCACGGCCGGTGTCGCCTCGCCTTTGGTGACTGTGAACGCGACCGGCTAAGCAACAAGACGCTGTACTTTACGGCTGCTAAAGCTATATTTTTAAAACTGCTGTCTCGCTGCAGTGGTTTTTAACGTTTGGGCAACGTGAGTTTTCGAACTGTTATGCTATTCTGCTCGTGAACAGTTGTCTCACAATTGCTTCTGCGAACTTTCGGGTGCATATCGCAAGTACGTCACTTGACTAATAAAACAACTTTGCTTTCTCAATCTTTGTTATTTTTATTTCTTTTCTCTTTTATGTTTTTAACGAGACGCAATTAAGGTGCCATAAAATCGCGTGATAATAAATAAGTAGCAGGTCATCAACTTAAAAATATTTAATTGCGTGCATGTAGGGCAAATGCGCGACGATGCTACCATTTCCGGTTGCGACGTCATATTTATTTATTCTTTACTGTTTGTTGTCCCCTCCTCATGTAGATGGCGACGGTGGCAACGAGCCGTCGACTAGTAGATTCATGGGCTTCTATGGAAGTTACGCTACCAGTTTACACATACCTTGCCACTATCACATACGCAAAAACACGTAGGCGTATATTGCAGTAGAAAAGATACTGTAGTGAAAACTAGTAAGCGTGTTTCCTTGAAGCAGTAAGGGACGTGTTGCCATCTTACGGCTGGGGTGAAGCTGCGTAGCTGAGCCGCTTTCTGGCCCGAGTGACCCCTCTTGTCATTTTTATGTTACTCTATGCTATCTGCGTCAAATGACATCCGAACAGCGCCAAGCTTTCGGGATGGTATCTTGCCTGCCATCGAGTTATCACCACGAACAAGCACGCATACATGCGCAGGCCGGCTGAAGAGGATGCGCGCAGCTATCGATCAGGACAACTGGATGGCGCGAACTGTACCATCGCGAAGGCTTGCCTCTGTTCCGGTTTCTTTTGAGGCTGATAGTACAATAATTGAGCAATACGTACTAGCAGTAAAGCACAATAATAAAACAACCACAAGAAATGCAGTTTTGAGGCTCGTTACCTCGCGTAAAGCAGCTTGAGGAGCACAACATAGATAAGCTCGCGCAATGTGCCGTTGAGAGTACGTATATAGGGCACGGCTCCATTAGGACTACATAGAGTACGGTGAAGTTGGGAGTACGTTGAGAGTACGGATAGCCTCGTAGTAGAGTGTGCAGAGACGTCAAGGTACCCTGTACTATACGAAGAGCGGTCGCTAAAGTTTTTTTTTTACTAAGTCTACGTCAGCGTATTGGAGTCCAAACACGGTCGTGGGGCTAGTATTCTAAAAAGCGTCGGCGAAAATTGTAACAGTGGCTGTCGGTAATTTTTTTATTCTTAACATGCTGGCGAGATGTTCGGCTTGTTCGGGGCGCTCAAGGTAAACACTCACGTCGACGTTTCCTTCGTCGGTGACGTTGGGTAACATCCGTCGAGCATGGTGGCCAGGGTCCTTCCGTACACTAACCTGTGCAGGGACATCTGTGTCGTTTTTTTTACAGCTGTGCTGTATGCAGAGGTCACATACGAAGGGATGGCTTGACGCGTCTTGTGCTGAACGTCGACGTAGATGTCCAGCATATCGATGATGATCTTATTTAGACGCCCGATGAGACCGTTGGTTTGTGGATGGCAGGTGGTGGTACCGCGGTGATTGTCTTGCTGCAGGGTCAGTCTAGAACTTTTGATTGCTTGAACCACAGTTTGAAACTACGCAGATGTTCTTCGAAGTTTGAATAAGCACAGCGATGTCATCCGAGTACTTATATAAGGCACGCCTGCCACTTCAAGCCGGCGAGCACTGTATATTAAACGTGTTGGAATGTCGCAGGTGCCGAGCAAAGAGCGAGAGGCATGGCCTTGAATTTGGACAGGCCGCCTAGTGTTACAAAAGCAGTCTCTTTTAGGTCGGTTGACAGGTCAGTGCAAAATTTACGCAGGCCCTACAGTTTTTCAGATGTCTCGTGCTATAGCGATAAACTGGGTTTCTTCTTTTGGAACCCAGTTGGGAAATAGCTGTCAGATAACGCGTATTACTGCCAAAAACGTGTACTATGAAACGGGCCGGCAAACCACACTGGGCACTGCAAAAACACCTCGGAGTGTGAAAGACACATTGCACCAGCACGTGGTCATGTAGTCGGAAAGATGGACAGTCGTTCGGTCGAAATGGAAGGTGAAGGGACGCCCGTATGGCCATTGGCGCTCCGACGTGAGCCTCTGTAAGCAGCATTGCATGTCACAGTCAAGAAATTGTCAAAAAATCCAATATCCCATAGGCACCTTAGCCCCATTTATAATGACTCGTTGACGGAGGTGATGACAGAACATGACTTAGTCCTTTGTAATGTGTGGCCAACTCTAAACCACTTGATAGTTCTGCCATTGACTTGGTGTGACGACTGATGGGATTCTTTGCGACCGCCACAGAATATAAGGTATAACTCATACACCCCACATCACACCTGCGTAGGATCTCCTTCCAAACCAGTTTTAATCGCTGAGAAGGCTCTGCGGTAGGTAAGACAGTTCAACGTCATGCAGAATGCCTGGGTCAGATTCCGGCTCGAACCCAGGTTTTAAATGTGACGAATTCCTTTGCGTACAGCAGCTACTTTACCCTTTTTCTATCTATCTATCTATCTATCTATCTATCTATCTATCTATCTATCTATCTATCTATCTATCTATCTATCTATCTATCTATCTATCTATCTATCTATCTATCTATCTATCTATCTATCTGTCTGTCTGTCTGTCTTGCTGTCTGTCTGTCTGTCTGTCTGTCTGTCTGTCTGTCTGTCTGTCTATCTATCTATCTATCTATCTATCTATCTATCTATCTATCTATCTATCTATCTATCTATCTATCTATCTATCTATCTATCTATCTATCTATCTATCTATCTATCTATCTATCTATCTATCCATCTATCTATCTATCCATCTATCTATCTATCTATCTATCTATCTATCTATCTATCTGTCTATCTATCTATCTATATGTGCGAAGCATGTGTAGGGAAGGTGACTGTGCTGTACGTTTTTTGTTGAGCGAAGCATTTGAAAATGACGCTAATATATGGACATATAATGTACGCTCCGACATTTGTTCAAAAATCAGATATGTTTTGTATAACCAGTTGTTTACAGTTGCGTAACTATGCGAACGTCTACTGGGGCATTACCAACAACAGAACCGGTAAGCTGATATGGAGTACATGTGCTAACGAGGATGGTAGCCCTAAGACAGTGCTGCATAAATCAACTTCAGTAGATGATGCTTAATTACAATCGACGTAAACCCGATGCGATGTCTGTATTACAAGAGTACATATGTAATGTGTATAAAAATATGTTGCTAGCTTTGCATCCACAACTGCCGAATTAGAGACATTAGGGACCTTTTCAAAAGCTAATCCGAGACCTGACGCGGCTCTTTGTTAGAGTACTTGATTGCCACGCAAAATGCCTGGGTTTGGTTCTTGCATAGTACCCGACATTTGTTCTTTTGTCGGCGAAGCTCCTTGTCTCATCTTGTGGCTAGTCACGCGTAGCCGAGAGGCAAAGAGACGAGAAAGAAAAGAGGGCACAAGAAATAGATGACCATTTCTCGTATCATTTCTTAAATGACGTTACTCTGCCACTACTCTCCTATTGGCTGTTGTGCGCATTTTGCCAACGAATGCCTCTCTCAGTCTCCTCGATAGTCACCGCACGTAGCGGATCGTTGGTGGAGCATGATGGATGGAGCAGAGCAGCGGGCACGTTAAAGACGTTTGCACTTGGCTCGCGTCTCGTCGGTGTTACCCGCGCGCCGCATGCATTCTCGAAAGCGATCGGACGCATGCATGAACGGACGGACACATGGACGAATGGGCTGAGGGACGTTTCACCCCACTCATCATCGTTGGCTCCGCAGATATGCTGTGTGTGTTTTTTTTTCTTTTCGCGGGGCAAACGCTGCCGATGTCAATGGTTATTTTTTCAACGCTGATGCGTTAAAAGTACCACCATCTCTTCTCGCCATATCTGGGTAGATTCAGTCTGTTTATCACTTGTGGCGCATACCAAGGCCCACGGTATACCGCCAATGCGACACGTGTGTGGAGAAAAAGGTTTGATGGCATACGTACGTTGGCTTTCTGCGTTCGTTACAGTCACCAGTTCCCTTGTTATACTTCGTAGAAAAGGTTATTCTAGCTAACTTGAAACATGCTACTTAGTGCCCGTTAATTCTTAATCTCTTCGGAACTAGAAGGTGGGACTCGGGTACTCACCATGCGATTCAAGGTGGAAAAGCAGAATACTCCACTGGTTCTTGTGATGTACCACTTGCTGTGGTCCTCTCTGGTTGAAAAATAGAATTTTTCTTCTTCCGTGCGGATCACGATGGTCTCGACATCAGTGACACTGTATTTTATGGAGCAGTACTTCTGTTGGGCACCGCCAGCACCATTTCTCCAGGACTGGACCGTGATGCTGTCGTTCATTCGTTTCCGTAAGTCCTTTGTGTAGACATCTGCGCGCAGCGTCACAGAAAAACGCATAAATTGCACGCATAAATTGCAAGCGGTTCCACGCATAAATTCCACGCATAAATTGCAAGCGGTTCAGCCGCCGCGTTGTTCCTCAATTTTCGGGGGACTTGTGAGGAGCGGCGCTTGCCTAATTTCTTCGACAAATCACACTACCAGTTTTTCCAAGGCACATGTGTAGGCGCCGCATAATGGAAGGTATGCAACTTGTGTAACCATGGGTGTGATTTCTACAATTTTCTGTGACCGCTTTTCGCGGGTGCTGTTTGGAAGCCACCGAAACCTATCGCGAAGGAGGCAACTCTGGTTAGCATTGCATAGAAGTTGCAAGTGCAGATAAGGCCAGTTGTATCGCACTCAGAGGTATAAGAAAAAAAAAGGCCATGCGTGCGCGAAAACGCAGCACTGTAACAGCGAAACCTTGAGGAATAGCCTTTCTAAAATCAGTTCTACATTCTTTTGGGGCTACCAATACACGTACACTTGCATTAATACTACGTCATGAATCATAATTTTCGTTAAGTTCTGTTAGTCATTCTGCGGCAAAGCGAGGTACCCGCTACGCATGTGCAAGCGTTACATGCATTTTGCTATTTGTTCATGCAGTTGATGACGATGAGGAATCATGGCTGAGCCCTTTCTGAAAGGTTTCAAGCATCCAGACCTACTCGGCCCTTGTGATCATTGTATTAGGAACGCTATGAGGTTATTTCAGAAAAATAACAGTTTTGGCATTAAAGTTCGTTGTTGCTGTTTTTCTATACATCATAACAGGGGGGAGGGGCGCTAAATACACAGCCCACAAGAAAAGTTGAGGGACCCTTAAGCTTCGCCTTAATGAGTTGAACGGGATAGCGATATTCTGTTTCTAGTACGTACTTCAAACCCTTAGTGTATAAAATCTTTTCGATCTTGCTATGCATCCCACTATACATGACCTTAAGGGTGCAATAGCATGTGTGCCTTTTGTAGTGGGCGACTGGCTTCAAAGTGTGAACTAATTATTATATTTTCATGTTCTGGCGTTGATGGCAATGTTACCTTATGCCACGCATTATTACGGCAACGTTTTGTTTCCTATTCTGAGGCATGTACACAGGACGCGTGCATTTATGAAGCATGAAAGTTACTTTCACAGCATTTCGAAGCAGCGCAAGCTATTTTCACTGTATTTACAAGCAGAGGCATGGTTGTGTGGTATAACACCCGCGTGCCATGCAAACGACGCGGATTCAATTTCCACTGAGACCTCAAATTATTTATTTTATTTGCATCTTTTTCGATTTCTCGGTTAAGCAAAGATAATGAGTTTTCGCTCAAAACCAAGCAAGATGACGCCGGAATTTTGGCAAAACTAGTTTTCTAAATCTATCGCGTTGGTAAAGTCATCGTCCCGCGCTTTCCTTTTTCTTGCGTACTGTGTATTTCGCACTCCCTCCCCCCGCAGACATCACCATATTCTAGGATTACACACAATACGATTGCATGAGAACCTTTCCCGCGCAGCACCTTACCTGTAAACAATCGAGGAGGCTTGGCAATCATAATTACAGGCGTCCTCCCATTTGTCCTTAGGTAGTCAACTCTTAACTCAGCCTTTTTGACCCTCAGGTACTTCTTGCGAAGCAAAAGCCAAAATTTCCTGAAGGCGTGTGCCCACTCTGGCGCACGGGCTTGGTAGACATTGGCCTCTTGAATGTGAAGATGAAGCGCTGCAAGGAGAATTTTGTGCAAAGATGCTTAAAATGATGGCAGCGAAATCGTACATAGTGTCCTTGAATATCCGTCTTTAAATTTTGAGGATTAGATTACGCGTTATCAACTAAAAAGGCTGAAACAGGAGAAACAATACAACATGTACACGAGGCTATTTTGGCAGAGTATTTTTTCAGATTGGCTTTAATTTCATTTCAGTTTCATTTAAGTATTCGGCTGCCAGGTTCTTGGCCCATCCGCCTCTGTGGGTGGGCGCCATCCATCTGAGGTCATCAACATCAGCATCAGCATTTGCAGCGATTAGCACTTAGCCAGTATTTATGTAGTTATGCGATCGCGGTAAACAAAGCGAATCATTGTGTACGTGACTTTGTGCTACGTGACTTTGTGCTACAATGACTCTTGCCTTGTTCAGGCAGTGACGAAACGTTTAATCATAATCTAGCTGACTTGACCATCAGTTAAGGTAGCTCAGTTCTATAGATCACCTTGATATTACTCATTAGTAGCGGAAATGTGATGCTGCATAAGCGCGATCAATACGGTAGGCTTAATTTCACTACCGAACGCTATTCAATGGCTGCAAAGTTAGGCATACAAAGTAAAACTAATATTTATAAATAACTGCTTGGGCTTGATCCCAAAAGCGCGATATCTATATGAGAGACGCCGTAGTAAAGTGGTCCGGCAGTTTCGACCACCAGCAATTCTTTGACATGCACCTAAATCTATGCACAAGAGTGTCAATCATTTTCGCCTGCATCGAAAATGTGGCCGCCGCGACGGGGATTTGATCCAGCGACCTGCGGATAAGGAGCGGACTGCCTTCGCCATCAGAATACCGTGACGGGTAGGCCTACACAGTGAAGTAACTTCCTTTCGCAATAGCAACTATCGAAATGCTCGAGGCGAATTCGCAGCGTCGTTGCATTATGAATCAAGAACGGGCATTCACAAGGGGAATTTCAGAAAGAAACATGTGTTTCAAATATGCCAAGGCAAAGGAGGACAGCGTAATGGAGCTCAACGTACATATAGTTTCGACGGCCTCAAAGGGGAACGACGTGCAGAAGAACAGCTGGCCATTCTCTCGACCACTGTGCGGGTATTCGTACTCCTTGGTCACGTCGTCCACAAACCTGGGCACACTGTGCTGAAGCCACACGGCGCCTCCGTTTTTCCCTTTGCCCACCAACAGCAAACCTGCATGGAGGCGTCGACAACGTATGTTTATGCGATTTCGGATCCGCAGTGCAGTATTGTGATTTGCAGAAGCACGTACTGGACATTATATTCGTATTCAATATTGCATAGATTCAATATACAACATCGGTAACATTGAAACCGAATCAAACTTTTACTATGGTACGCTTGAAACAGGTAAGGCAGGCAAGTAGGATGCTGGAAGTCGCATTCATTTTAGTAGCGAAAACTAGAGGAAGAAAGAGAGAGAAAGAATAAGAAGAAAGGCGGAGAGGGCTAACCAGGACTGAGCCCAGTAGGCTACTTTGCACTGGGGAAGGGGGGATGGGGAAGGAAAGTAATAAAGGAGGAGAAAAAATTCACAGGCTGGGCCCATGCGTAAGTTTCATGTTTCACATCACAAACGACAAAACGGGCCGATGTCTTTGAGGACACGCAACAGCGCTTTCGTTGCCTTTCGGAAGTGAGATGGGCAGCGCCATGGTTTCAATACCTTCTCGACAGTGAAATCGCTTCTGTACAGTTGATTTGGAACACTGCGTAGGTGAATCCCCTAGTTAGATAGCCTCATCGACTGCGCAGTCAATGCACTCCACGCTGTCGGCCATCCCAATCTTAAAGTAGGGCATTGGTATATGGTAAAGGCTACGCCCAGACGCAGACGACACAACACTGCACCTTCCTCCCTGACAAGACCAGGGGTGAGCAGCAGTCGCAGAGATGGGTCGAGATAAAGCAGTCGACGATGTGGGAACTGTACTTACTGTGATTTTTGGAATGTCATGTTTTTCGCCAGCTTACTCAAGTAGCTAGCCGCATGACCCCTATGGATAAATTTATGGAAACAAGATTTGTACTTGTGCACTTCTAGCTGCTTCATCGGTGAGGTCGTTGCCAGAGATACCACAATGACTTGATATCCACTGCAACACAACGTTGTTCCCTTTTTAGGTCGCATAGTGCAGTATTTCTCTGATCTCCCACACAAGTTGTTCATACGGCTCGCGACGAATCGCCGACGAAATACATTGCAGAGCCGCCTTACTGCACATTGATTAGCCGGTTGTTGCTTGATATTTACGATGGCACTTCGCAGGGCGCCAATCTCCGAACCAGTCAATGTGCTTACGTAACAAAGTTCGTGAATGATCTCGATGTGTAACAGTGAGACGTCAGTGGCGGCGACGGAACTAGTCTGGCTGATATAGCCATGCCTGTGCACGTGGATTCTATCAAGATAGAAAATGTGCAAACAATCCAGAGCTGCTTGCTTCAAGGCCAAGGCTGAAAGAACTTTTCTATTTCTTACTCCTTAGACGGAAAGGCGCACATCGGGTTGTCGTATGCACCACAAAGCGGCCGGTGAACGCACCGAGGGTGTGAAACCGTGTGGTAGTAAAGCGTGGTGGGAGCTGACGACACATGGGAATGACGCCCGCGGTCGTTGTTCTGGCAGGAAGGACAGATGGCTCGATAGCATCTTTGAAATGTGCCGAGTATGTGCTATCAGCGTGTTTGTTGTGACGTGAGTCGTAACCGAATGGTCTCGAGCCAACCAAACTGTCCCGCCTGTGGGGTGGTTCGTGGTTGACCGAGACAGATACGTAGTGCCTGTGCTTCCACGCTCTGAAGTGCTGGAATGTTTGACTTTAAATTTTTAGTAAGCAGAGGAGAGCTGTAGCACAGTGCACCAATAAAAAGTGTTTGGTATAGCTGTAGAATGAAACTGTGTGATGGACCCCATCTTTCTTCCAGCGATGAATTTCAGAACGCGGCAAGAGATGCGAGCTTCAGTTTCAAGTGAGTCACGTGAGGACTCCATGAGAGGTGGCAGTCAACAATGACACCTAGAAAACAATGACTTTGCTTGTAAGAGATAGGCTGACCACAGTTACCCGATAAAAAGAAATGCTCATGAAAAGGCACAAAGCTTTTACACTCTAAGAGTCTTCTTCTCTGTGTGCATTTCTTTAACTTGCACTTCTTATGTGACTACGGTTACTGGATCGTATACTAATGAAAGAAACAAAACGGAGGAGGTCACGCACAAACAGCTCTTAAAATATACGTTTACACTGCATATACGTTTACAACGCTTGCTCAAACATATACAACATGCGCACGTCACGGATTTCTGTATTCTATCTAGTTTGCATCACCAGGTTACGAACTCTCAACACCAACTTGCTCAAACTTATAGTCTGCCAAGACATAGCGCGCCTGTCATTCGCCCCCACAAAGGCGTGCTAATAAGCGCAGATAGCTGAAAAAAATATTGCAAATGAGCAAATGTAACTATACAAAGTATGTATAAGAATTGCATAGAAAACATTGAACATTGAATCTAAATATTATTATTATTACATATAGTCTTTAGTTGACAGTTTCTGCAATGAAGTTGTGCTTTAGACTTGCTATTGCTGAAAAAAAAGGCGTTGTACACTTATAGGCAGTTAATACTAGAACTGGAAAGCTTTCCTTTCTTTCACAATCAAATACCGCGAGCATGTTTGAACACGCGGTAACATACCAACCTTTCGTGTGCCCTCCTCTTCTACTACGGAACCCACGGGGTGGCTGATCGTTGTATGCCAGAAATGCCACTTCCTATTGAAAAACATGTGTGTTCGTTGCAAACAGACTCCTTGGCGATACATGTATGAGAGCTGCGTGCATAACACTAACCAATAAAGAGATTAACCATGTCTCATGTACCTATAGGTGCATTTCGAAAATTGTTACTTTGTCGATTAACAGATTCCCCACATTGTAGAACGAAATGCAGCTTTGAAACACGTGCGTTGGAAACGATTCGCATTACAGATTCGTAGCCAGGATGGCGGGTTCTCTAGAAGCCTCACCCACCTTGAAATTTGAAAAGAAAGGCCTGTTTTAATGAGCAAAGAAATAATGAAAGTAGATGTTTCTCAACGCCTTGAGCCAGTGGGCTCTCCCCGAAAACAATTCCTGGCTATAAGCCTGTCGCGTGAGTATGACGTTCCTGTAATATTCTGGTCAGCTATTGTAGTTTAATTCTTCCGATCACTCGCTTTTTTGTAATGGCGTGGAGTTTCAGGTTTACAACATACTTTCAATAGGTATGTTGTAGAGAAAACGTTGTTGTAAGCTTTGTGCTTGCGTTTCTCATTGTTTGTGGTTATCTTACTTTCTTAAAATACAAGGCACATTTTAAGCAAAACATGGTACCACTACAAGGCACGAGTCCCAAGAAAACAAATATCCTTTTTCAACGCTCCTATAATGGCATGTTTTCTTGTGCCACATATATATATATATATATATATATATATATATATATATATATATATATATATATATATATATATATATATATATATATATATATATATATTGTAAGGCAACGTTTTGGCTGCAAGACACTTCTTTTACTTGCCGAGCCTCTGCCCCACAACACAGATCAGGCTGATGATGATGAGTATGTACTTATGATAAAACGACTCGCTTGAGTAATGCTTGAATAATTCCCCCCCCCCCCCCCCCCCCCCCCCCCCCCCCCACGCTTGAGCGACCAGCCCGGACGCGTCTTAGACGGAAACCGAACGTCGAACGAATGGCTTCAGACGCGATACGTGGACAATCTCCGAACCACGAAATGTTAAAGCATGCTTGAGGGCTTGAAAGGCACGCTCGCAGTCGTCGTTCCAAGCGAAAGCTGATCCGGACGTCAGCAGCTTATGCAGTGGCGACGCGATGGTAGCAAAATGGCTGATGAAGCGGCAGAAGTAGGACGCCAGGCCCAGGAAACTTCGTAGGTGTTTCTGATTTTCTGGCCGAGGGAAGCGTATCACGGCAGAAAGCTTGTCAGGATCCGGGCGATCGCCATCTTTGCTGACAAGGTGGCCCAACACCTTGATGTTCTTGTTGGCGAAATGGCCTTTCTTTGTGTTTAGCTGAAGTCCAGCACTAGAAATACACGTCAAAACTTCGTCTAAACGCTAAAGGTGCTGACGAAAAGAAGGGAAAAAAATGACGATGTCATCTAGATAACAGAGACATGTTTTCCATTTTAGGCCGCGTAGAACTGTGTCAATCATGCGTTCAAACGTGGCAGGAGCATAACATAAACCGAATGGTATCACGTTGGATTCATACAGCCCGTCTGGTGTTGCAAATGCAGTTTTTTCTTTGTCCGCTTCGTGCATAGGTATTTGCCAATAACCAGACCGTAAATTCAGGCTGGAGAAAAATTCAGCGCCTTGCAGACAGTCAAGTGCGTCGTCGACTCGTGGGATCGGGTACACGTCTTTTCGCGTGATCTTATTAAGTGCTCGATAATCGACGCAGAATATCACTGAACCGTTCTTCTTTCGGACTAGCACTACAGGGGATGACCACGAGCTGGACGAAGGCCGGATAACATCTCGTTTGAGCATATCAGCAACGTTGTTCTCGATGATTTTCCGCTCTGCGCATGACACTCGATATGGGCGGCGGTGTACAATTGTGTTGCCTTCCGTTTCAATTCGATGTACGGCGACGGACGTGCGACCAAAAGCTTGGAATTTACATCAAATGAAGCACTGTGTTTTTGAAGGGTACCCAAAAGTTCTTGCTTTTGCGCTGACGTGAGATCAGGATTTATTGTGGCTGTTAAAGCAGCCGTCGTAGCGTCGTTATTAGTACTCGTAGAGAAAGATGGTGCGTCTGCTTGAAGGGGCACCAGAGAAAGTGGTTCGGTGTCTGTGAAGCAAACCACACTGGTGCCCAGGGGCAGTGCAACAGGCAAAGAAGTAGGGTTAACTGCCGTAAATAATGCTTTGCCATCATGAAAGCGCACCAGGCTAGGAGCGATGGTAAGCCCACCAGAGATGTAGCGTCCACACGGTGCTAGGAACACATCACCAGTACTGATCTTATCTGATGTCAGGGTCAGAATATGCTCATTGCCTGGAGGAATAAAACAGTCATCAGCGGTGACGAAGCGCTGGCTATGAGCATCTTTATCGGACGAAAGCGCAGTATCTGACATACGAATGATCCTTTGACGGCGAGATATCACGGCTGAAGCTGAGGAGAGAAAGTCCCACCCTAAAATGAGCGCATTAGTACACGGTGACAGAACGAGGAACTGTATATGATGAAGGATGCCCTCAATAAAAACTCGTGCTGTGCAAACACCAGAAGGCTGAACAAAAAACCGCATTAGCACAGCGAAGGGGAGGGCCATCATATGGTGTCTTCACTTTGCGCAAACGGGAACACAAGTCCACACTAATAAGTGAGAGCGATGCACCTATGTCCACCAAGGCTTCAGTCCATATACCCTCAACACACACTGAAAGTACATTTGAAGGGCGTTCCGGAGGAGTTCGATGCAGTCTGCCAAATGCAGCTTTCCCTCCTGAAGCTGCACTGTTTAGTTTTCCGGGCGGTGATCAGACGCCGTGGTAGCCGGACGAAGTAGTGACAAGGAACGGCGCATAAGTGACAGGGAACGACGGCGTGAGAAGCGGAATGTACTGGCTGCATCGAAGTGCTGCGGAGATGGTGAGCGGCGTTGGTACAGTTGATATGGGTGGCGATGTTGTGGAGCAGGGGCAAACTCATCCCTCTCGAAGTCACCATAGCCCCGCCTTTCGTCTTGTTGACGTCGACGACAGAACCGTGGGGTGTGGCCACGTATTTCGCAATAATAGCAAATCGGTCGAGTTGGACGCCAGGCATGGAAAGAAGGAAGCGGTGCCCTTGGGGCAAGAGCATTCAGTGAAAGCTGCGTAGTTGACACACACTGCGGTGATTGCTGAGAAGGTGACGCTGCAACCACATGAGCGTATGTCGGCTTTGAAGTGGTATGCGAGCTCGGGACTTGCTCACACGTCATGGATGCCAGCTCCTCCCTGACGATGTTGCGGAGGCTGCCTGCAGAAGGCGTTATGCGGAGCTCATAAGACGACGAGGTGGCCTGGAGTTGCAGCTCCTCGCGGATCATGGACCGTATCAACGACCGGAGCTCATTGTCATGCGTTGGCCTGATATCTCCTGTTTCAGGTTGTAAACGTATAAGTTGAAGGTCATCGAGTCGCTGACACGTACTGATGATATCCGCGACCGTGGTGGAGTTCTTTGCCGCTAAAGCGTTAAATGCGACGGCACCTATGCCCTTGAGCAGGTGGCGAACGCGGTCATGTTCCGCCATCGAGCTGTCGATGCGACGGCATAGGGCGAGGACATCCTCAATGTACGAGGTGTAAGACTCGCCGGAGTGCTGAACACGTTCAGCAAGCTTCGGTTTGGCTATGTCTGCACGGACAGAAGGGTTGGCAAATATCTGACGGAGCTGCTGCTTAAAGGTAGGCAGTCCGGGAAATCCAGCTGATGGTTGAGAAACCATGTCTTAGCGACCCCCGTCAGATAGAACGGTACGCGGGACAGCTTCACAGAATCATGCTAATAGTTAAGCGCACTCACACGGTCGTACTCATCCAACCAGTCTTCAACGTCTTCACCGCGAAGGCCGGCGAACATCGGTGGACCTTTTTGGGGGGCGGTGACAGTCCAAGAAGGCATGCCCAGGGGTGCTGGCGCGGTGGATGCAGCCGTGTTGTTGTGCTCGTCTTGCGACATGACCGTGGGCTGACTGCGCAGACGGCGACCCGACCGGAGCTCCAGGGATGGTTGTTAGTCGAATATGACGAAAAAGCGCTGCAGAAAGAGGACCAGGGGACCGGAAAGCACTCTCCACCACTTGTAAGGCAACGTTTTGGCTGCAAGACTCTTCTTTTACTTGCCGAGCCTCTGCCGCACAACACAGGTCAGGCTGATGATGATGAGTATGTACATATGTACATTATATATATATATATATATATATATATATATATATATATATATATATATATATATATATATATATATATATATATATATATATACTTATATATTGTGAGCGCAGTCACCGACTCTTCTTTATCAATTGGACGTGTCATCATCATTTGTATAATTTTTTCATCTGTAGATATCATCATCAGTGTATGCCAGATCGAGCTCGCCTCGAATAAAGCTCTTGCTCATAAGTGGTGGGCGGTGTTTCTCAATCCCCAAGTCCTCTCGCACGTTACCACTGGAGCTCCACTCGGGTCGTCGTCTACTACCACCTGCCATGGCAGTGCAAGACAATCCTGGTCCATCCAATACCGCCGGCCCAGTGCAGCCTCCGCCGTCTACTCTGGCCATTCACAGCCACCAGCGTGATCCGCCAGTATTCTCGGGTCTCGAAGGGGAAGACGTTGAAGAATGGCTACACACCTACAACCTCGTCAGCGAGTTGAACATGTGGGATACTCTATATAAGTTGCGTACGGTTCCTTTCTACCTAACTGATGTTGCCAAGACCTGGTTTTGGAACCACCAAGATCTTCCCGACTAGGACACGTTCGCACGGCAGCTCTGTCAGATTTTCGGTTCCCCCAGTGTTCGCGCTGAAGCGGCAACGAAGAAGCTTACTGAACGCATTCAGCTGGCGGTTGAATCATACACCTAGTACATTGAGGATGTTCTTGCCTTGTGCAAGCGTGTAAATTCAGCTATGCCTCAAAGCGACCAATTACACCATATTATCAAAGGCGTAAATACCGTCGCATTCAACGCCCTTGCGTCGCAAAACCCTACCACGACTCAAGATGTCATCACCATTTGCTAGAAACTAGAAGAACTTCAGTCTCTTCGTCTTTGCCATGATGCCTCGGACATTCGTCTTCCTGCGGCCCTCGACATCCGTACCCTGGTCCGTGACATCGTTCATGAGGAGCTTCATGAGCGCTGTTCTTCCTGCGCCCCATTGTCTACTTTAGCCTCAGCTCCAACCAACTTGCGGGACATCATTAGGCAAGAGATTGCATCTGCGTCACATTCAGCTTGTTCCGCCGAATCCAAACCTCGTCAGGTACCAACGTACGCAGAAGTTGTGGCACTATCAGCACCCACCACTATCCCAGCGGCTACACCAGGTGGCCATGTATTTGTGGCGTCAGTGTCTACACCGATGCGCCCACAGCCATATTACGCCACGCCGCGTCCTCAACGCCCAATCTGTTATTATTGCGGCTATAGGGGTCATATATCTGGCTTTTGCCGAAGGCGTCAACAGGACGAGCAACGTGGCTACGCTCCAGAGGAACGCGGACGCTTCAGTCTACACACGAACTACCAGCGCACGCCTTACCGGTCTTCTTTTCAGCGTTCGCCCTCTCCACCTTACAGTAGTGGTCTGCCTGTGAACTCACGTGAGTCCCGCCGCCACTTACCATCTCTTAATCGCCGTTCCGTGTCGCCTCTGCGACCCACCTCCAATGTTTCGAATTCCCACTCGGAAAACTCCCCAATGCAGTTTTAGGACAGGAAACTGCATCCATTGGGCAGCCAGCAATTCCTCCAGACAGACCATCGAACTTGTTAACAGTGTTAGTTGAAGGTATACGCGTCGAAGCTCTAGTGGATACTGGCGCTGCTATTTCCATTATTCGCTCTGACCTTTGCTCCCGTCTCCGTAAAGTAACAACACCTTACTCGGGCCCATCTCTCCGTGCTACGACGAACGCCATTTGTCGCCCACTCGCCCAGTGTACAGTTCGTGTTTTCATAGACGGTATTCGTCATCATATTGCTGTTGCAGTTCTCTGTGAGTGTACCCACGAACTCATTTTGGGGTGGGATTTTCTGTCGTCTGCACTCGCTTCTATATCTTGTCGTCAGCGCCTTATCCACCTCAATCCCACCGACTATTCTGTATCGGAACCTGAAGAGCGCATTCGTTTCGTCACCACTTCAGATTATGTTCTTTGGCCATCCCGAAACAAAGTAATTAGCGTTGATTGCATCAACATTGTGGATGCCGACGTGCTTTTATTACCTCATGGCCACACGGTACATCGAGGCATTCTGATCATTCCAGGTCTTGGCCTTGTTCGTTTTTCTGAATGGTCTGCTTTTATTACTGCGTTAAGTCAGACCCCTGAACCCTTATTGCTGCCTTGTGGATGAACAGTCACATGCGCTATTGGCCAGAATTCCGTTGCAATTGTTGCCCTTCCAAGTCAAGCAGACCTACCTGAGCCAAGCACGCCGCCACTCAACTCTCCCATTCCTCTATCGGTGACGCTCCCTCCGACCACCGTTGCCGTGGGCAGAAATTGTGCACGTTTCTCGGCTGAAACTGCATACCCAACGCAATTCTTAATATTGTCTCTCGCGCAGCCAGGAGGCCGCTTCCAGCGTGACGAGGAATTAGTGTGAGCGCAGTCACCGACCCTTCTTTATCAATTGGACATATCATCATGATTTGTATAATTTCCTCATCTGTAGATATCATCATCAGCGTGTGCCAGCTCGAGCTCGCCTCGAATAAAGCTCTTCCTCATAAGATATGTTGATGGAAATGGAAGGGGAATGCTAGAGGCCCTTGTACTGTCCGATGTCAGTGCGCATCAAAGAGCACTATATGGTCTAAAACTCCTAGAGCACTCCATTATGGCGTCTCTTATAATCACATCGTAGTTTTTGAATGAATCCCCACTTATTATTATTATTCTCATTTAGCTGTCATCCACTGGAATAATTCGTGGAAAAATAGAGCAGGTGACAATGATGTTTGTCTCACATGCTCCGAGGCAAAAGAACTCTTGGCGCCGCATTTCCGCGGGTGGTCGCATATTTTAAAGTCTCAAAGCCATAGTAATGTTTCACAACACAAACATTTTCCATCAATTTCGCATTTACAGTAAGCCCCTACTCTGATCAGGGGAGTGTTATGTCTGGGGTTGTCGTCCTCCCGTACACGTACACCTGGAACGGTAGTAAAAAGGCGTAGGCCACCTCGAACGGTTAAAACTTGATTATTCCTACTTAGATGGGAGCAGCAGCCGTACTGGCGTGGGTAAGCGAATGACGAATCGTTGTGTGGAGAGGGGGACGGAGGATGAGTAAGCGGAGAAGTCTTAATGACCGGAGTCGTTTGCAACCGACGTCCCGCCGCTTCATTGTGTACCGCTCGGAAGCTCGCTCGGAACCCAGGGATGGTTTGGGACACAACAGGGAGAATAATTGTTTGTTTCTGCGTGCCGTTAACAGAGATCAGGGCCAGTATTGCCTCCCAGTGGTCGTACTCAGCACATCTACTGTAGTGTAAGAATAGTTTTTCAAAAACGATGCCTTATATTGGGTATCATTCTCTCTGTGGTGAAGCAACAATAGTGTTCTTATATTTTTCATGCATTGCAATTGCATCCGTGCTGTGACCGTCCGAATGTTACGTGTGACACGACTTGTCAGGCTAATCAGAATGCAAAGTCATTGGCGTCATCAGATTAACAAACGTCACTTCTGGTGGCAAAAAAACGCCATTTTGCCTTGCTGCAGTCGGTCCAGAGAGTGGTTTCTCTGTTTAGATTGTCACAACTGATTGTTTTCGGCGTTCATACTTGTGAACAGATATCACAACACTCTAAACTCCCAGAAAAAGCGACCAAATGATATACTTATTTATATTTTGTCGCAGGCTCCCTCTAAATGTTCCCATCAACTGGTGCGCTTTCCTGTTTGTTTAGGATTACCACTCCTTAGATCATAAATCAATGTGGCCACAATGAAATTGTCTCATTCATTGCTTTAGTCTCGTGATTGTCATGGATAATGTAATGAAGTGTCGACGTTAGGCGTTTCCTTTCTACTATACCAGTTCGAATGACTTACTCTCTGTGCTTCATTATATATCGGTGCTAGCGTCTCTTTAACAGGGTTTGATTTTCTAAAGTAAATGCTGAAAGGCAACAATTCCCATTCTGAATTTTCTGAATCACTGCCGTAATACGCCATCTCGCCACCATCAAGCTGCTTCGTGTTTCTATGATCCTTGGTCTTTGGCAGCTTGTAAATAACAAACCTGCAAAAAAAGAATTTTATAAGAAACTCGGACATCATACGGACCGATGCAAATGCTTAAGTTACTTAGCACGGAAATCCTAAATCTACCTCGCCTGTCCACCCCCGCCCCCCTCAAAAAAAAGCAGCGATATGTTGAAGTAGCGCTCCGCATAAACATTTAAGGAACTTAATTTCTATACAACGCGTGCATACATAAAAAAAACAAGATCGACATATGAGAGGTTAGCTCTTCAAGTTTTCACTCATACCATAGTCATACATAAGTGAGAGAACACACTGCTTTTATATTTGAAAGTATTATGACACGATAAGAAGTCTTTTGATATATAGTTCGCGGCTTGAACAAAGGCTCGCCTGGACAAGTATGATGCACATCCGGTTGAATGAGTGCTACAAAAGCAGATGTTTGGAAAACTGCCCATTCTGCGGCCACAGCTGCAAGTGAAGCGACGTTCGGGCTGTGTGTGACGTTACAGATAGAGCGAAAGCTCCGTGTTTACGGAAAAAAACAGAGAAAGTTGTATACAAGCTCGCCGGCAAAAGTTTTGAGAATTCGCATTCGCTGGATAAGCTCCAATTTTAACGGCCAATATCACCCGTTTTATTCCTTCTTAAAAGAGCATGCTTCAAGTGGTTTTTTAGGCATATGGGCCGGCTAGGCGGATATTAGGCTTGCTTCACGTCAACAGTGTCTTCATACTTAAATTAAAACCAGGCTGGTCCCACGTACATTGGCAATCGATGTTATGCGAAGCATCCGGATTGAAGTTGACGGTGCTGTAACTTTTTTATTGAGCGAAAAGTTTCGAAGTGACACTAAAGATATGTACAAATACATGTACATACATATGATGAACACCCGCGTATCTTTCATATAACCAGCTGTTTACAGTTGCATAATGATGCCAACAGCAACATGGTTATTAGCAACACCAGAAACGGTAAGCTGATGTGAAGCGCTCGTGCTCACTGTAGGATGGTAGCCCTGGACACTGCTACATAAATCAACTACATTGGATGGCGCCTAACTACAATGAACATTAACCCAACGTGACGAATGTATCATAGGAGTGCCTAAATAATGTTTATATGGGATGCCGTGTTGATGAGAGACTGATACAAACAAGAAAACATAACTGTTTATTCGATGTCAGAACAGCATCGATAGAGCATACTGACGCTGCGCTCGTCAAAGCTAACGGCGCAATGATAATATTGTAAGCTTGCAGCCCGGTGGCCACCGTCGTGACGTAAGCCACTGGTGACGCTACGGTGGCGCTGTCTCTTATCGGTGGTGTGTTGCAGCATCCAGCCGCGTTACGCTGGTATAGCTAGTGACGCATGGGAGGCTGCGCTGGCATGTACGCAGTGTGGTACCACATAACCTACCGGTCGTCCAGAACGTGTCGGGGGGTCTGTGAATAGATGCCTGTGAATGGATTCTGGTTTTTATGCAGTGTGTGGCCGCATTTGTAAAATTGAACAAGCAGCACTGCAACCATGATTCACGCTTGTTTCCGAAGCAGTTCTGAGACATGGCGTATAGCTCTGCGGTGGTACACCTGGGGCTTGGTTCCTGTTGGGACCTAGATATTATTTGCATTCGTCGGGTCAACGCTACTGATGTCAGCTTTTTCTGAACGCTTGCGCGTTAAAATTACCCATATTAGTTTTCGCCCTTCCTGGGTAGACATAAACTATCAATAACTTGGGGCACATACCCGCATACCTGTAGCACATACATGCCCGCGGGTATGTGTCCCACATCTAGCAGAAAGAGTTGGACGACGTACGCGATGGTATTACGACATCATATATGTCACGACCAGGGAGTCATATTCGTCAAACAGTCTTGTTCTCACGTGCTAATCTTGGTGTACCTCAAGTAACGAATTTTTCTATTTACAAAAGCAACAAAAATGCAACGAATTCATCTATCTACCTTTCGATTCCCAAAATAAACTGAAAGCCTTAACCACATCATTCAGCTCTGGTTAAATGGAGTCAGTGAAAAATACTTGAATGATTACGAAGTTTTTTTTTTTCTAATTGTTACGAACACCTCTGTAAGCAGCGGCGCCCCTGGCGCCTTTCAAGCTTTCCTCTGCCTCTCGACTCCATTCCCACGTGTGTTTAGAATATCGTAGCCACCCTCGTCAGCAACTGAGGATATGGCAGCAGTCGATATTTCCCAGAGGTGAGGAATTGGCACATACTAGGTCGACATTACGCTGTCTTTTACGGGCTATTAGACTTGAATTTGTCAGCAACGTTGCTTCTCGCAGGGTATCCCCCGTTGTGTCTTTCGAACACATTCGTGCGAGAATATCCTTGCAGCGATCAAAAAGCTCATCAACTCGCGTCAGCCTGTCCTCAAAACGAATTTGACTGCTCTGACATTTTTTGCACGCCTGATGACGTTTGTGTCTTCATCCGGTGGAGCGTGCCTCCAGAATCAGCACCCAGACCTGCGTGTGCTAAACGAATCGCTTTCTTCCGGTACTCGTGGCATACTGTAGTTAACGGTTGGCTCTGGCTCGGTGCGCGAACACTAACATCGACATTTACATTGGGGACATGTCATCGTGTAGATTTTGTGACTCCTTCGATGCACTGATTACATTGGCTCCTTCGATGAACGAGAGTGTGCCGACTGCCATACTCTCAAAGGAAGTTGTCAGACTGTTATCTCCGTATTTACTCTTTGTCCTTTACATTAGTGTTTACACGGAGATGCATTCTGCGTCGCAGCCCAAGTGAAAAGCAAACTATGACAGAGTAGCATTTAAAAAGTCGATGTACAAAAAATACAAAAAGAACACTTTTGACAGACCGAGCTGGGGCCCTGCCGATGAAAACAGAGGAAATTGGGAGCTCTTAAGAAAAAAAAGGCTGAGCTAGGACCAGCTTCCTGATTTCTTATTGAAGTGAAAGCAAGAACGTGAAAACAGTCATACTGGAGTAGCTAAACGGACTCGAAAAACTGTTGCATCTGAGAGAACCAAAATGAGACGACTCTAGACGAACAAACTTTTTAATAGTTCTGCAGAATGACTTGTGGTGGTACAATAATGAGCGACAACTGCGTCTTGATGCGTTGTTATTAAGTAGACTTGGCGGGCAATCACACTTTTACGAGGGCGCAATGACAGAAAATGAAATGCCACATAGCACTCATTGCAGCCTAGGCAACTTAAAATGCTCATAATATTGTTCATTCTCCAACTGCGGCGTTTTTGAAGCCTATGTCTCTTTTACGCCAATAAAGGACACCAAAAAATCAATGTAGGAGATTTTGCTGACAATGCGAAGTAACTGGTGCGGTCGTCATCGCTTTCAGGTGTCAGCTACATACTCAAGATATCGTATGCACTTCACAGTTACAATAAAACGTCGCTTGTGACTGTTTTATGGTTGGTATTACGCAGAGTTGTTTTTTGATACCCTCTTAAGACATAGGCGCCCACAGTGTTCCCTTTCGGGAGTGGGGTAGTGAAAGTTCGTCGCAGCAGCCCTTTTCCTGTTATATCAACGTATAGGGTGGAATTTGCGACCCCTCCTACCGAGTCGCAGGGCCCCAAGCTTCCCTTTTATGTGAGCGTGGGAAGCTACCATTGCAGGTGAAATGGCCGCCCTTCCGCCCTTCCGCCTTCCCCCCCTTCTCCTGCCAGCACGCACTATTAGCCTTACAAGTCTTCAATAGTATGAGTGCAGCGTTTGCATCGTGTTTGTGCTTTGGACAGCTCTTGAGCACAATTTTGCACGGAACTACGATGCACGAGGAAACCAAACAGTCTCTCTGTCTTTCTATTTTGTGTGTGTGTGTGTGTGTGTGTGTGTGTGTGTGTGTGTGTGTGTGTGTGTGTGTGTGTGTGTGTGTGTGTGTGTGTGTGTGTGTGTGTGTGTGTGTGCTGCTGTCATATGCTATTGCTTAGGTTCGGGTCAAACTGAAGCTTCTTGCAGATGTGTTAATTATGCTCAAAAAGTGCGCAAATGAAACGACCAAAAAGTTTGAAAACCTCGTTGTCCGCAGCACAAACCTGGACTTTGAGACGGCATGTGACCTTTGTATAAATAAAGGACGTCGTGATGACTGCAACACTGGGAAACACCCCTAAACATTCAGGTAAAGAACTGATAACCCTAATATATCTGTAGTTCCCGGTACTAACTGTCGATAATCACGTTAGATATTCGCTAGGGTAAGCATTGCACGCATCTTTTTGCAGAACTTCATCTTTCGGAGACGAACGTTCGGAAACGTCCAACTTAACTAAAACTTTGTCATACAGAAACTTTATGCGACCTTCATTATAAAGCATGCTTCTAATGTCCGGGACACGTACACAATCACACAAACACGCCCCCCCCCCACACACACACAAATTAAGTAAACTTGATGAACCTATACGCAGTCAGGTTTATTTTTTACCCGAATAGCTGACGCACGTCTCCGTGATCCATTCTACAATGCGCAGAACTCTGAAACGATTGCCAACATGTTACCGAGATAGTCAACATCTCGGCTAAATATGTAATTGCAAATTAAGCGTTAACAAAACTGTACACGTTTTAACACGCTCTACACACGTTCGCATCATCCCAAAAAGGCAAGAGACTTGTCACAAGGGGCTAACTTATAATACAATATACTTTTACCGTGTGTGCATTTGGAACGAAACGCCGTTGCTGATAAAAGTTTCAGTTACCAAACGAATTCTGCATTTCTCTACATACTTTCACATAAACCAAGAGTCCGTGTATAACAACAGTTCGATCATCGTGTAAGATATTATTCTCTCGTTCCTTACAAAGTTGTCAGTTGCCAAACTATTTCAACGTTTCTCTACATATTTTCACAAGAAGCGTGATTTCGGTGTACTACAACAGTTCGATCATTGTAACACATGTTATTTTTGTGCGTCGTTTCACCTGAAATTTTACGGCAGGACATAAATTAATGTTTGGAACCCACTTCGTTGTCGTTCAAAACGCCCCGACTTGCAAAAATCCTGGTAAAGGGACTGTTATGTGTGGCTTTTAAAAAACTACTTTAAATAAAAGGTCACAATGTATGCTACCTTATAAGTGCTGGTATGTGAAGACTCCACAAATGAAAGGTACTTTCTAACAATGAGAACTTGGAGAACACGCATACGAATAATGAAGATAAGTTGCAATCACTTACCAGTCTACAGGAAAACCCATTGCATTCTTACACGATATTTTGGAAGAAGCTCCGTAAACAGTTTTTAGGCTAACACCTATGAGAAGAAGATTCGCAGTGCTAAACAAGGGTACCATAACTATCGTATAGATTACACAACGCGCTATGTTCAGTTCATTCGGCATATGCGTCAACCTGGGTAGATCTACGCAGAGGACACAATCGAGCTCGTTAAGGCTCATTTATATTTGCTCGCTAATGATCTGACAGCCACAAATTTTCAGCGACGAGCTGCTGAGGGCCACGCCACTCAGAGTAGACGATGACATTCATGACGTCCGATTTCGATTTTTTTTTCTGCAAAAAAATGCTTTGGTGCTGTTCTCCGACGTGATGTTGCGATCTTTTGACACATCATTCAAAATGTCCTCACAAGACATGGCGACACGAAAAGTTTAATATATCTGGGACGAGTCCTTTTGAAGGATTTACCCACAGTCACGCTTTTGTTGCGAAACGAGGACATGACAGTCGAGTTGAACTATACGCCATTGCAGCAGTAACGTTTACATTTGGCAGCTAAAAAATATGCGACTGTTACTGCTGCATGCGTGAATAAATTTGGACATTAAGCATGAGATAGTTGCCAAGAGCACTAAAATGTGCATGGCTGACATTTCTCGTAAAGACACATGAGTACCCTCATTAAAATGCGTCGAAAACTGGTAGAGCGAGACATATACATTGTTCTTGTTTCTTTGGTTGCTTCTGAGTCTAACGCTCAATAAGCATTATTCCGTACTTGCACAAAAATTGTGCGGGTCAGCTGGGGCCATCGTTCTTTTTGCAAGACATCAAGCTTGTAGCCATTTTGACAGCCATCTGTTTTATAAACTCTCAGCGAACCGCCTAGAAGGTATGTCGTAATCACAACTTCCCTGGTGGCTTCTGCATGCGCGGGAAATGCCACTCCCAAGAAAAATAAATGTACCATAGTATAGACGAGCTCCCCGTAGATACAAAGTTAGGTGAGCATGTGGCATTTTGAGTGCATTTCGATTCACTGCGCAATGAGAGAAATGAAATGGCAGATGAGTTCGCAAAATTATTATTTTTATTAGGCTTATTATTATTATTATTATTATTATATTATTGTTTATTATTATTATTATTATTATTATTATTATTATTATTATTATTATTATTATTATTATTATTATTATTATTATTATTATTATTAAACCATTATCTATATTATTAATAATTATTAGGCTTATTATTTTACGCCAACCCGTGTCATTATCATCTCGCAACGCGACAGGAACCACTTATTATGTAGAGTAAATGGTGAATTATGCTTATCCACCTGGCTCTCAAACAGCACGAAGGAATTATCTTCACTGTTTGCGACTTTATCTAGAGTGCCAATTAGACTCACAGATCCCGTGACCATATCCATGCGCGCATGCATCGCCTAAGACTCCGAACTGTTTACCTCGACGTACGTTTAGCAGAAAACCGTTAAAGCTGGCAGTAAGACGTCCGTTAACAAAAAACGCCTGCTGCTCCGTTGTTAAAGCAACCACCACAGCTGCGCGCCACCTCTGTTAAATATAGCCAAGCCGCGGCCAATCCGTGGGCCCGCGTCATAAAAACTGCCACACTTTCTTACACTATAGCTCATGCGCAGAGATTTCAACACATCCAGAGTGGCAAGCCTGCGTGTATTCCGAATCTATCTGTCGTCGTCCCTCGGCTACCGCTTATTCGGCCCAACACGATAGATCCAATGACTACTGGAGTTGCTGATCCCGTGCTGCAGCAGGATGATCATCAGTGAGCTTTGTTGTGTCAAGCTTTGCGTAACTCAGTGCAAACTCGTCGTGATTTCATTCCAGATTCACCGTGCGCCATTGTCAACATGTTCATGCATCTACGACAACAAGGATGTGCATCATCTGTGGCAAGACTTTTCTAGCACACCTCACATTGACAGCCATTTCAATAGGAACCCTACTCGCTGCACTCGGAGCAAACGTTCTCGTGGACGAAAATCCTAGTTATATGACCATCTAAGACAAATTGCAAAACAATGAAAGTGCTTCAACGTTTGTTTTTTAATGCGAAGCAGCTATTTGACCGGCCTGTAAAACGCTGTCCGTCCGAGTTTCCGTGCCAACGCGCCGCATCGCGCCACTCTCCCCTCACTACAGGTGTTGGGGCGGTGCAAGTAGGTTATGGCTTCCCTCGCAGTGCGCCAACATCACTCTATACTTGACCTGCCACGCGTTATTATTATTATTATTATATTATTATTATTATTATTATTATTATTATTATTATTATTATTATTATTATTATTATATTATTATTATTATTATATTGTAAAGAGGTTTATTGGGCGAACCAAACGGGCAGGTGGGAGATTGGAGATAGCGACAGGACGAGGAAGATGGAGGAGCTCGAGCGCCGATCTCGTGGTGCCTTACTTTGCGATGATGCTTGCTGTTCCCTTTTCTTGTCATCATTCCTTCATTATAATTGCCCCCGTCGAGAAAGATCAAGTCATCCTGGCGATCTAACAAGTAGGAACGAGCGGGTCGAAGTACGGCTTCAAGCGGTCCACGTGAACAATATCGTGTCCACGCCGACGATGGTCACCAGGCGGCGTAAGCGGTTCAATGGCGTAATTGACGGGCGATGTGCGCTCTACCACGCGGTATGGGCCATGGTAATTTGAAAGTAGCTTGGTAGACAAACCAGGTGCACAGGTGGTACATACAGCCATACAAGGGTTCCAGGGGCGAACTTGGCGGCAGGAGGGTGGTCGTCATCGCGGGCCTTTTTCTGGCGTTGCTGGTCAGCCGTAGTAAACTGCTTCGCTAGTTGGCGGCATTCTTCGGCGTGACGGGCGGCTTCAGACACGGTCGTGCACTCAGATACATCTGGTGCGTATGGCAGCAAAGTGTCAATTGTGTGCGATGGTTGACGTCCGTATAGAAGGTAGAATGGAGAAAAGCCGGTGGTGACTTGGGTAGCGGTGTTGTACGCGTAGGTCGCAAACGGAAGAACCAGGTCCCAGTTCGTTTGGTCAGATGCCACATGCGTCGCGAGCATGTCACCCAGGGTCCGATTAAACCGCTCAGTCAGGCCATTCGTCTGAGGGTGGTAAGCAGTACTCATCCGGTGTACAATATGGCACTGACGGAGAAGTGCTTGGATTACGTCGGATAGAAATACACGGCCCCGGTCACTGAGGAGCTCGCGAGGAGGAGGGCAATCGATGAATTGAAAAGCTCGCAAGGTGGTATATTGGAAGGGTTGAGGGCACTGATGGCGTCGTAGTCACCGGAACAATCTGGCGGCATGGTAAAAATTTGTTCTTTATCAATGGCATGCACGTGTCCAAGAGATTCACCTTGAAACAGTTCAACGGGATACAGAAGGGGATTGATGAGGCAAAGAGCACTGTTTCCTTCAGAAATAGAGAGGGTTGTATAAGGCAGAAGAAGTGATCTTCGACTAAGGAAGAGGCTTGATGGCTCAAAGAATGCAGCTTCGTTCCTAATGCCGTCACAGAACACGGGGAGCAACACAGCTGCTGTCGGAGGAATCTCAGTGCCTTCTTTGACGACGAGTTTGTGTACGGCGGGCTGAATGCGGCTGGTTGGTTGGTCGTAAAACGGGAAAAGTTCAAGCTCCGATCTTGCACAATCAATAACGGCATGGTTGCGCGATAAAAAATCCCATCCAAGTATGATGTCGTGTGAGCATGACGACAGGACAATAAACTCAACAGTGTAGTGGTCCTTCGCGATCATCAGTCGGACAGTACAGGCGGCTACAGGCTGAACCGGGTCCCCATTCGCTGTTTGCAAGGACATCATATTAAGAGGCGTCGTCACTTTTCGGAGCTTGCGGCAAAGTTTAGCGTCTATCACGGAAACGGCAGCACCAGTATCCACTACAGCATATGCTCGAGTACCTTCTACAAAAACTTTGACAATATTCGACGGCAATGTCCGAGGACTTGATCATTTCGACAGCGGAGTTCTTGCCTCCTGAACTGTGGCGGTTAGTTTCCCTCGTGCTCAGGAGCTGGCCGACGACGCATAGATGACAGGGAGCGACGACGGGGTGAAGGTGAGCGACCAGACATAGTACGCGGACATTCCCGTGAAGACGAGCTTGACTGAGGGTCAGAATTTTCCAGACGGGATGGAGAAAGGTCCATGAAGCTGTTCTGTGTCCGGGCGTCTGTGTATCCCGGCACGCGACGACGGCAGTAACGGGCGATATGGCCAGGGCCACCGCACGCATAACAGATGGGCCGGTTATCGCGCGTTCTCCAAGTATTGGCGACGAGGGGAGCAGTCCATGCGGCAGACGGGTGAGTCGAGGCTGTGGTGGCAATGGGAGGAACCCAGGCGGTAAACGGCTGAGTCGGGGCTGAGGTGTACGGCAGTCCCTGGAACGACGGGTGGTGGTGTCGCTGCTGCAACTTTAGTGCCTCAGCGTAAGTAAGAGGCGCGGTGACGGGGGGCTGCTGCAAGAGCACCGGCATAGCCTCGGAAATCTGCTCCTGGACCACATGTCGGAGCATGGGAGCCAATGGTGGTGGGTGTCGCAGTGGCTGTTGGTGCGAGAGCTCCTGGCGTTGAGCAAAAGGCAGCAGAGAAAGCTGCCGAGCCACTTCCTCTCGCACGAAGTCTTTCACTTGTGCGAGAAGGTTTGTCTGGTCAGTCATAGCGTCCAGTGCGGTCACTGTTTGTATTGTCTGGAATGAGCGTCGCGTCTGAGCTCATTGCCTCCGCAATTCATCGTAGCTTTGGCACAAAGTCACTACTTCTGCCACAGTGCTTGGAGACTTCGCGAGAAGCATCTGGAAAACGTCATCGTCGACGCCTTTCATAATGTGCTGTATCTTCGCACTCTCGCTCATGGAAGCATCGACGCGCCGGCAGAGATCAATCACATCTTCTATATATGATGTGAAAGTTTCACCTGGCTCCTGTGCCCGTGCGCGCAGACGTTGTTTGGCGCGTAGCTCCCGTAAGGCAGGACGACCAAAAACGGCACGTATTGCCTCCTTGAAGGCGGACCAATTCGCGAACTCGGTTTCGTGGTTCGTATACCACAGCTTGGCCACGTCGGTGAGATGAAAATTGACAGTGCCTAACTTAGCAGCGTCATCCCACCTG